CCTAGTCTCGTGTACTTATAATTTTAAGTGACATCGGTTTGCATATGTTTTCAAGTAAGTTGAGCTAATCAGATTTTACAGTGTATTGTCTGATAATTATTTGTGTTAATGAAACACATTTCTCATTTCTTTGTAGTTTTTTTTAATTAATCTATATTTATCAGTGGAACACAAATTTGGACAAAATTTTATGTAAAAATGTATAAAATACTATATTATATTACTACACTACTATATTATCATATTTGAAATTCAAAGTTTATCTAAATAAAGAACAAACAAAATCAGCCGAACCAGACAGCCACACTCAAATGAAGGAAGCAGAATTTGCCACAGCCTATTTATGCTGATGACTTGTGAAAACCGTCAACATTTGTGGTTTGTTGCTAACAGAAAATTAAAAATAAACACAAGTACTAGCTGTGAGAGGATGGTGAACACATAGTGACGCTAGGTCAGTCTGCACTGGTTCCAGTTCTGACTTTCCTTAAATAAAGCCTTGGTGGGAGTGCTGTCCTTGTGTGTACTGACAAGCTCTGAACATGTGGAAATGAATTTCTTACTATCTAAAATTAGGTATTCTGCTGCTGTAATGTAAAATGGTAAATGGCCTGTATTTGACATAACGCCGTCTAGGGTTCTAAAATACCCCCAAGGCGCTTTACACCCAGACACCCAGACACACATCCACACGCGGGTGGTAATGAGCTACACTGTAGTCACAGTTGCCTTGGGACGCACTGATGGAAGCTAGGCTACCGAGCACAGGCGCCACCGATCCCATCGACCACCACCAGTAGACAAGGTGGGTGAAGCGTCTTGCCCAAGGACATGACTGCAACATGCAGGACTCAAACCAGCAACCCTTCTTTCAGCGTAGCAGTTGCATGTCTGATTTTAAGCAAAATGATCCGTGGGACACAATTCCACAAAAAGAGGGGTCTTCCTGTCCACTAATGGTGGCAGCAGGAATTTTACTGATGACCAGTGTTTCTGATTTTAGCACATAGAGTGGTCCAGGGCGGCGCATAAGAACAGGTTTGTGGACCAAACTGTTAATGGTTAATATCTCAAAACTATACAAATGTTTAAAGTGAATAGCAGAAAGTCAGTTTGAGAGGAAAATGTTTATTTTTATTGTTTTTTTATCAGCTTTTTAATGTGAGATGAATGCAGAAAAGGCAAAGATGAGTCTTTCATTCCTCCGCGGGTTGAAAACGGTCAGTTTTGATTACAAAGTAAATGTTGGAGCATCAGACAGGGGAGAGTGGTGTGTGTGTGTGTGTGTGTGTGTGTGTGTGTGTCGTGTGTGTGTGTGTGTGTGTGTGTGTGTGTGTGTGTGGAGGGGGGGTGTTAACATGCTGATATGCATTCTATCAGGATGATTTATGCAAATTATGCACATTATTCCCGCAGGAATCTCTCTTCTGAAAGTGCCAGGATAAATTGCCGGAAATTAGCCATAAAATTCACTGTGCAGGGAGTGTGAGGTGAAGGCCGCCGAGGAGCCAAGGACATTGGGCCGCCGTGGTTACGCTTGGCCTGCCTGCCTGCCTCCCTTCCTCCCACCCCTCACCCTCCACCCATTGCTTGGCATTCATGGCTGTTAAAGACCTCCGCTCAGACAGATACACCGAAGCCTCGAGAAGCACTCGGCACATCAGGAAGATCAGCCAAGCAAGTGTTACACTTACGGAGGGCTTTCATGCTCTAGTAACGTGACAGATTTTCAGCACGGGGAGGCGGATTGTCTTTTCATCTTCTTCTGTTAGAGACCTTAATCCATCTTATTGATTCTTATTAGATTCCTGGAAAATACAGTTGAACTTAAATCCACTGAGTCTGCTTTTATGTCTGTTTGCAAGACGTTTACTCGTCCTACTCTCCAGAAACCAGTCCAACAAAGATTTTCATAGGGTAAAAGCCAGAGTTGATAAACATCCAGATATAATTCAGCTGTTCTCGACTTTTATGAACCCTTAGAGAGTCAGAGTCTACATTTTGATCAGGAAACGTCATTTCACTCGTATTCAAGCTCTAAGAAACGTCATCAGGTCAACCAGGTTCTTGTCGGCTCGATAAAAACAAACCAAAAAGTGAAACTTCTCTTCTGCCGAAGCGTTGGCCCCTGTTTCTGTTTGTTCAAATTAACGCTGAATGGTTTTTATCTTGGTGTAAACAACCTGTGAAGCAGCAACGCCAGCTTTTAGATCCAACGGGAATAAAAAGAACATCAGATTACATTCCCAAAACAGAGCCATCGGTAAACAGGGATTAGGAGATTAGGCCTTTAATCTGATTAATATGGAAGCAGCTGGAATATTAGAAAAATAGTTTAAAATTTGGTGTTTTTATTTAAACTAGGAGCTTTCACGACCAGAGGGAAAGCAGGAATTGTTGATGTGAAATCTGGCGCCAATATTTTGTATTCTGGAACATTTTTAGGATTTAAAATAAAATTAAATTCACAGGATTATTTCTGCTGGAATCTGAAATGACACCAAACTCTGAGCTTTAAAAGAATGAAGGCAACTGGACTTCTTTGGTTTCTTGAAGACGTTTCGCTTTTCATCCGAGGAGCTTTGTTAAAAGTGAAACGTCTTCAAGAAACCAAAGAAGTCCAGTTGCCTTCATTCGAACCCTGTTGCATTACCACGACTTGGATGACTGAGAACCTTCACCAGCAAGAGATGTTTTCATTTCAACACTTCAATTCAAGTTTGTTTTCTCTTGCAAAAGTTCTGAGCTCTATCAGATAAATGTTAATGCTAATAAAACTACTCAGGTGGCGTTTCAAAGGTTGTCAACACATATTTGGCTCCATTAAAGCATTAATTCAATTCAATTCAAGTTTATTTATATAGCGCCAAATCATGACAAGAGTCGTCTCAAGGCACTTCACATAATAAACATTCCAGTTCACAGTTCATTAAGCCAATCAGAAATAATGTTTCCTATATAAGGAACCCAGCAAATTGCATCAAGTCACTGGGATTCACTTTGCGATTCTGGAGAGGGAAAAGCGCGCGAAAAAGTTGTTTAAATCACAATTAAATGTCATAAATACGCAGAAAAGTTTATAGTCACTGATAATTCCAGCCTGAATCCACCTCTGATGAGGGGACAGTGTACCAAAATCACTCTGGAAGATATTTTGACTCAAGCTGACGGATCTGTTGAAAAGTGTCTGACAACAGGGAGGATTTAAGGCGAAGTGTCGTTTCAGTCAGCGAAAAGAATTTCCGAGCATGAATCTGCATTTTTTTGTAGATTTTCTTCACATTTCACCTTTTTCTGTGCAGTCAATAATGAAGTTAAAACAGCAGAAAACAGGAGTTGTTGCAGCCAACCTCCCTAGGCTGAGGTTTTATTTGTGTGCACAACAAGGAGACAACATTATGCATTTGCTATCAGCAGCCTGACAAAAAATGAGTTACCACTCAGAGGTTGATTTGGTGCCTCAGCCTGCAAAGCACATACATCTTTAGAGTGACACAGCTCGAGTGAATCCATCACCAGAGTTTGTCTCGTTACTGATTCAAGGCGGACGCTTCAATCCAGTGTGTTTATGTATATTTTGACTTTAATGTGCCTCTTCTTTAGCATACATCACCTTCCTGTTATGGAGAAGATGCCCTGCTGGACCCTGATAGGGTGACTTTTTACGATTCATTTCTATAATCCCAAAAAGACTCCAGAATAAAGCATATTTTAATGTTTTGCACATGTCAGAGACTCTATTGTGAGCATGACATCTACCCCTAATGGCTGAATTACTGTTAAATCGCCCCCACATGAAGTGGAACACGTTTTTATTTTAGGTGTTATCTCTCATGTGACATTTCCTCCTGCGCTCCTGTTTTGTTTTCCACATATGGTTCACTCTCACCCCTGGGGAATTTCCTCTTCTGGGCTAATGTGAATATTAGTATGGGTTAAATGCTTCACTCATTTGTGCATTAATGCATGTTGCATAATTAATGTATTTTAGTGCATATGTGTGGATTCTCTGTTTTTTATCTGCAGGAGGAGGATGCAAAACACATCTGTGTTGTAAAACATCTTGTTGAAGTTCTGCTGCTGGTTATTTCTGCTCCAGAGGAGAGTTAAAGCATCAATAATCAAGTTTTTGATTGATTTGAACACTTTGATGAAACTGTTGTTGATGCATCTCATCATGGAGATACAGAGGTTTGGACTGGAGGCTGGAATAAGAACAATGTTGGCTGTTTCTGCAATTTGATTCTATTAAATAATTCTTGAAATATTTCTGTCTTGAAAACATTTTTGTTCATTTTTAAATACATGATTGTAAAATTTAGAAGATTTCTAAATCTGGAGCTAAATTTATCTCAATCTTTTGGTTTATTAAACAAAATATTAGAATTAATCTAAAAGTCTAAGAGTCCATGTGTTAAGAATATGGGTAAAATCCTTTTTTTTCCAGGGATTTATTTTGTTCTAATAAGACAAAAAAGCTTTAGTTCATCAGAAGTGTTTAAAATGACAAGTTTCGTCTCTAACTACAACTTGTAAAATTTAATTTTGGGTGTTGAGAACTTTAAAATGATTTCAACAAAAGGTGCGCTATGCTTTTCCCATTCTGCACTTTAATTACCCCAATAATAATTCTGATTAAGTGAAACCAGCTAGTTTGTTCTAAGTGATCTCCTGGCGCAGCTTCATGAGAATAAACACAATAAAGGTCAGTAGAGATTGTTTGCATGACGCGCAGCCCCGAGGCTGGTTCAGCATCACGTCTGGCCTTTTTTCACGCTCAAAATTTGAGAAACCATAAATTTTTATTAAAACAAATACTGAATCTATCTTTATTTTCTTAAACTTGACAAAGATGACAGAAACACAAGCTTCATCTCATCTTTGCGATTCTGGAGAGGGAAAAGCGCACGAAAAAGTTGTTTAAATCACAATTAAATGTCATAAATACGCATAAAAATGCCTAGTGGTTCCCAATTAGAGACTTAGGTAAAAAATAAGGGTTTTTTCTGTTGTTCAAAATATTTTAATAAAGCTTTTCAACACTGAAATACATACAAACGGCCCTCTTTGCTTATAGAACAACTAAAGTATCTACAATTAAAACCACAACCTGACCTGACAACGCGATCGTGTTTGAGAGGAAAACGTGAATAAAAAAACACATCAACTTAGATGACGAAGTGCAAAGTAAGCAAAAAAATAAAAATAAATCCATCATAAATATCCAGGATCAATAAATTACAAAACACACATCAAAGCATCTGATCGAACAGAATTTAGGGTTTAAATGTCACAAACTGATGTTTAAGAGCTTTTCCTTTGACAACATTCTGAAATCAGGCCTGAAAGGAACGGAAAGTGTCTGATCGTGAAGCAGCAGAAAGCGACGCTCCGTTTACAAATAAAAAAGTCGCAAATTGTCAGGTCACCAAATCTTCAAAGAGGGTCCATCATCACCAGCTGCAGCGTCCAGGCCTTCTTCCGTTTGGCCTTCACCAGCACTTTAAGAATGATTTAGATACACAATCAAGTTTTGTTGGAACAGAATAAAAACAGAAACGAAAAGCGCATTTTAATGCATTTAGTAAATATTATAAAACCGGCGTTACTTTTTGAGTCTAGTCTACAACAGGAGTTTGTCTCTTTTCTTCTTGTTTCTCCAAATGTGTCCTCCAAAGTGGAACCTGTTCTGTCTTCTGTGCGTCTTTTTGAGTCATTTTGGGCGCAGTTAAGGCTTGTCAGTGCACTGTTTGCACAGGCTGGAGGTGGCGTTGTTGAACAGGGCACATTTATCTGGGCAGGAGGACGCGGCCACACCGCTCGGGAAGGGGTAACCGGGCGGCTGCTCATACGCGCCCAGGCCGGGCGCCGCCAGCGCGGTGGTGGCCGGTATGGAAGCTGCGGAGATGGCCTGGCCCTGGTTCAGGTACGCCACCAGCCTCCTCATTTCCTCCAGCGCCTGCGCCTGCATGAGGATGTAGTTCTTGGCGAGGAGTAAAGTGGCGATTTTGGAGAGTTTGCGCACCGACGGGCTGTGCGCGTACGGGATGACCGCCCGGAGCTCGTCCAGTGCGTCGTTCAGGTCGTGCATCCGCCGTCTCTCCCTGGCGTTGATGTTAAGCCTCAGTAACTTCTGCTCTTTGGTTTTCTTACCTCCCTCTGCTTTCCCCCCGGCCGCGGTGCGCACATCGGTCAGGAGGACCATATCGCACCGGCCGTCACTGTCATCGTCGGGGCTCTGCTCTCCGCCGCTGCTCTCCGCCGCGGAGGTCCTGTTGGCGCTCTCCCCGTAATTGACGCACAAAGATCCGGTCGGCAGACCCAGCGTACCCCCTCTGCTCCCAGCCAGTCCCCCCGGCTGAATCGGGTCCGGGTCCGCCTGATCGAAGCAGCTCATTGGAGACTGTCGGTCTCTGGTCGGCAGCTCGATGGATCTGAAGGGGTCCATCTTTTTGTTGGACACGGCGCTGAGAGTTTTGTGAAAAATGTCCCCCGCGCCTCCGCTCAGGTTCAGCCTCCTGTCCATAGCCTCGTGGATTCCGCGTCTGGACGCGTCTCGGAGAGTGTGCCCCCCTGTCCGTGTCTCGTGCTGAAGTTTCAGACTCCTCTGAGCTGAGGTATGTTGATGAGGGAGAGACGTGTGATAAGTGTCTCTCTCGCTCTCTCTCTCCCTGTGTGTTCACCTTCACCGGATCATCCTCGTTACGCACAAGACGCTCCGGTCTTTTTACATCATTATCTCGAGGCGGGTTAATAAAAAGGATTCTCCTATTGGGACCGAGACACCCTCTCCCCCTCGCTCTCCACCCAATCAGGTTAACGTTTTAATTAACGGCGCTTAGACGTTAAACATTGTAGCGCGCCGTCTCCAGCGCGCGCGTCTTCAGGACTTTAAAAGTTTTTAACAAACCGGATGGAAATGTTTAAATGAACCATTATATGTTTATGGAGAAAACCAGAGTAGCTTTTGTTAGTCCCGGACTGTTTGTTAGAGATTTTTAATCTGATTCAGAAATTTGATTTATTATTATTATTATTTTTATATTTTAATTCTTAATTGTAATTGTTTAAGTTCACTTTTTAACTAAAGTTAACTGACTATGGGATCCTTTATTTAAAAAAAATCAACAAGTTTTTAAAGTTTCTCCTGCTTAAAATTTTTATTTTGTTAATTTCTTTCATCAAAGAAGCGCATCTCAGAATAGCTTTGTTTATGCTGCCATCTCGTGGATCCCACGTGTCATTACAGTTGTTAAAGATCATCTTATTGTGACTCAACCTAAACTGAAATTGAATTTCTGGACAGAGAAGAAATAAATTATTGCTGTAGACCATTTTGTATTTGGTAACATAAAATATAACTTTTTAAAAATTAAAAATCTATTTATTTAAATATTTGCCTTTCAAAGTGTCAAAACTCAATTGCACCTCACAGAGTGATTTTATTTTTTCTCGGCTCATTTCTGTAGGCAGCTTTTACACTTTAAAACTCAGTAAAGATAGAATAATGACAACATTAAATGACTGCAACTGAATATTTGTGTCATTTTTCCAAGTTATTTATTTGTGTATTTGAAATTCAGCAGGACACAACAGATAATTTACATTTAATCCTTCATCTATTCTGGACAAAACTCAGACTAATTTCTTTTTATTTTTTTGGAAGAGATCTTAGTTAAACAGTAGCACACACATATAATATAAGAAAACAGACCATTTTCAGACCCAAAACACAGATCAATATGAGCATCAGACACAGAAAGTAGGTCATCCTATCCAACAAAAGTGGAAAAGCTGCAGAATTAAAGTGTTTAACATCCTAAAACGAGAAGAAATGCTATTTTTACACAAAGGAACCTAAATTACGTTTAATTTTAGAGATTAGATTTTCTAAACCTGTTCTGATGAATGCAGACGCCTGAATAATTATCAGATGTGACCCTTTCTATGTTGCTTCTACTACCCTTCCTTCATTGACTCAAGGATGGCTGAGGATAAAAGTTTAAAAGTTGCTGATTGGTCTGATTTGGGCTGCATGCTGGTGTGGTTGGTGGCACTGTTGAGTTGCAGTGAAAAGGTTGCAGGTTTAAATCCCTGCTGCAGCCTTTTTGCATGGAATCTGTGTTCTCTGCATGTTGTGGGGGTTTCTCCTGGTGCTTCCGTTTCCTCCCACAGACCAAAAACATGCATGTTGACTGGAGAATCATTGTCCCCAGGTGTGTGACATGGTTGGCTGTTTGTCTCTGTGTGTCCCTGTCATGGACATGTGACATGTCCAGTGTGTCCTCTCCACCTCTCGCCCAAAGATGAACACCACCCCTCCTCGAACCTATGGATGGTTGACCTGATATGATCCACAAGTGATGACAGAAATAACCCATGATGAAATATTTTCAGTCTTTTTATCACATATCAGTGATTTCAATAATAACTTCTAAAGTCGTCTTTTGATTTTCTGTCAACTACAGAAAAAATACAGTTTTTACGGATTATTAATCCAAAATTTTCAGTCTGTCTGAAAAAGTCATCAAATCATTAATTTGTTTTAAATTCTAACATGTTTTCTAAGTGCATCAATATTTCACATAAAGTCAAAGTTCAGCCAGTTTGATGTGAGTGGCCTCAGTTTGGAGAAACAAAGATTCGTTCTGACTGGTGGGGCCAACTTCCACGTCACACACTTTTTTTGATGGAAAATATTTGAAACCTTTTTAAGTTTCAGATCTCCCAATGACTTCTGCTTTTAGGAATGATGTGACCGATTTGTTTTGTTTACAGGTTCACCACGTCTTCAAAATCAGCTTTTTAATAACTAGTTTCATATTTATTCATTCATTAGATATCATCACGTGGTACCTCTGGTTGGCTTTAAAGCCAGTGTGTAATAATTTTACATGTTTACTATCAAATTCTGTGTATCCCGTTCATAAACAAGTCCTGTATCATTTATATTTCTCACCTACTTCTATTCTAAATATTCCTCTTAGCTTGAAATTTTACATTTTTGTATTCATAAACCGTGTCAACGCACCATGGTCATGAGCCATCTTGAAATATGGTAGCTGTTTAGGGACATACATGCTCCACATCTAGCATTTGTGCTTTGACATGACTGAAAGAAACAGCAGAGGGCAGCTGTATGCCCTGGAAGCGACTAAGAAGAAGAAGAGTATGTAAAACAAACAATATAATCAAAAGACATTTCAAACTTGTTAGGACGTCATCATGTCCAACACCTGGCAGCTGCATATGATGAGATCCCCGTCCGCTATTAGCTGTTCACCAGCATCTAAGTGATCAATTTACAACCTAACTCACCTCAAGTCTCTCATTCATCGTTTCATCGTCCTAGAGCTCCTGATCCAGTCCCAACAAAGTCCTTCTCCAAGAACCCTCCTAAAGTTTCTTCTGCATCCTGCCATCTCTCCTCCAACATGCTCAAGCTCAAGTGCTCTGTGTGTGAAGCACCAATAGCTACGCTCCTAAAGCGGCCCAATGGAACTTACTTTCTGCCTTCTGGACTGGTAGGTTAATATAAGAGTCATAAATAAAAATGTTATTTAATTGATAAATTGTAGTGGTTCAAGGCTTTGTGTGGGTTAGGCTAGAGAAACTGGAAATTGAAAATACTATCACGGTCATTCTAATTATAAAGAATCGTGAAAACTGGAAGTTGTTGACAGACTGCCTTTTTGACGTAGGTGGGCTACTGTAGCTGCAATACCTACTCTGACCTGGGTGGTGCTAAAGAGTCAAAACATTTTACACATTGGGCCTTTAAGGAATAAAACGGATGATAAAAACTGAAAAAACAAAAATGGAGCTGCAAGTATGGATCTCACTTTACCAGGTAGGAGCTGATTAGGACAAGCCTATGGGAATAAATATCCTACAGCAGTTAGGGGATCTGTCTTTGTCAGGCTTCCAGGCATTCAGACTGTTGAAGGGTTCCCCTGATTGCTGCAGGATAAAGGAAAACTTCTATTTTAGAGCTGAGTGCAGAGTGATTATGATCCCTCTGTTAATTCAGCACTGTGGACAGCTCCAGGGTTTTCACCTCATTTCAGTCTCGCCTGAACTCCACACGTGTCGCACACTTCCTGCGTTGTCCTGGGAACGCAGTTTGAATCAAGTCTGAACAACTCTTTAACATGCTTCTCCAACTCAGCTATTTCCTTCACAGCCAATTTTGTTATTACTCTCCTCAAGCCACCATTTATAAACACTCTAAGAAATGCATTGAGAGACAAAACCTGTCTCTGCGTCCTAACAAGGTGCCACTGCTTGTTACCATGGCATATTTGCAGCACACATCCGTGCTACCTGTAGCAGTGATTACACCTGACCCCTGCCAATTGAAAGCTTTCTAATTGTACCTTGGATTTCTTCCTCTATCTGAGCTCGATGCCTTGGCAGCTGCACATTGTGAAACAGGAATGAGGCTCACAGGAAAAGGCATCTCACCCAGTGGAGACAACTATGTTTGCCAAAGAATTTTGCTTTTTAGAATCGATGACCCTCTTTTAAATTAATCAGAAGAGAAACAGTAATTCCCCTTATTTAGCAGCTGCTTTACAAAAATTCAAGGTCAGAGTTTTAGCTCATTTTCTGCAGCTTTCAATTAGCCTCAGTCCCTTTGTCCCTTGAGGAGTTATGACCTGAGGACGGGTGCAGACAGTCGCTTCATCCTCAGAACACCTTCATGGCCAATCAGCTTTAGCTAATGAGACGAGATGGGCGAGGAGGCTGCCACCACCGTTACAGTCACAGTGTGCATCAGCACTTTGCTAACAAGGAGGAAAAAGGAGAACAAGCATAAGTTTAGTCTGGAGCTGAACCTGTCAGGAGGAAGCAAAAAGCTTCAGATTGGTTGCAGGAATCATGTCTTTGATTTATTTATAGGCTGTTTGCAAAATATGACCTTTTTGCTACTTTAAAGTTTGACTTGTTGATCTGGCAAAGAAAATTGTCCGAGGATGGTCGAGCTGTTGGTAGTTTGTGTGAGAAAGCAAAGGCATCCTTTCTCCAGACTGAGTGAAAAATAAAACATTTTTATTAAAACCATTTCTGATCACCGGTCTTCTTTTACCATTTTTGTCCTCACAGATTTTTGTAAAAGGAAATTCCCTGGCCTCAGTTGCTAAATTTCATTATTTCCTCAAAATGTAACTTTTTTTTAACCATTCCAATCAAGCCAGGATCTGCTGCTTTTAACACATGATAACTATCCTCACAGGAAAATCACATGGTACAGTTGTGTCACTTATGGGTTCCTTTAAGAATGTACCAAAATGAACTGTTACAAATCCTAAAAAACAAGAGGGTATTAATAAAAAGTTAAACACTGTTAACTTTCATTTTTGTTACCCCAATAAAAATATTATTTCTTTATAACCCTTAATGCTTCAGATTTGTTGGATTTTCTCCCGCTCATCCGGAGTCGGGTCGCGGGGACAGCAGCCTAAGTCGAGAGGCCCAGACTTCCCTCTCCCCAGCCACTTGGGCCAGCTCTTCCGGGGAAATCCCAAGGTGTTCCCTGGCCAGGTGAGAGACATAGTCCATCCACCGTGTCCTGGGTCTCCCTTTATGTCTCCTCCCGGTTGGCCGTGCCTGGAAAACCTCACCAGGGAGGAGTCCAGGAGGCATCCTAACCAGATGCCCGAGCCACCTCAACTGGCTCCTCTCGATGTGGAGGAGCAGCAGATCTACTCCTAGCCCCTCCCGGATGACTGAGCTTCTCCCCCTATCTCTTAGGGAGAGCCCAGATACCCTGCGGAGAAATCAAATTTTGGCCGCTTGTATCTGTGATCTCGCTCTTTCGGTTACTAAGTTCGTGGCCACAGGTGAGGGTAGAAACTTTGATCGACTGATAAATCGTTGTTGGATATTTCTTGGTGTGGAAATTAAAGAGGACCTATCACAATTCTTTTTTTTTAAGTTATAATAATTCTACGGTTGATACCAAGCACATTTAAAACATTCTTTACACTAAATACCTCTCACATGAAGCTATCTCAGCACTTTTACTCTTGGCATTTTCAGTACCTTCCAGAATGAGTCGTTTCAGGGCTCCATCACTTTAAAGAAACAATGTGTGGTTTTTACCGTTAATCTTTAGAAATACCCACTGAAATATTATTGTAAACGAATAAAATTATGCCAAGTTGTTGAAAAAAATTGGCGACTTTGTACCATATAACCATAAAAATGTGGTCTAAAGTACATGGGGCATGAGTCTAGCGTCTTTGGGGATACCATATTAGACAACATGTTTCCTTCTGGCCAGCTCGGGGTCCTGTGCCTGTCGATGTTGTCACACTAGATGATTGGCTGGACTTACAACTTACAGAAGTTACGTTACCATACTTGAAAACATTTAGGTAGTAAGAAACACGATTTTCATAACAAAACTCTTTCCAAACCCTATGTGAAAGAATAGAATTGAAAAAGAGATGCAATTTACTTTGGCTGAATGGTATTGCCGTAGCATGATGGAGACCTAGAATCAAAATCAACATTTTACTTGTTAAATAAAGACAGCTTGGTGGTCAAAAGTAGCATGCCAAAAAGTCAAAGCCATTTTGACCTACTTTTTATGCAAATTAGAAAGTTGAAAAAAGCAAGAGAACAAACCTTCCTTGACACGTCACGGGTAACCACTCCTGCTACATCTACATGTCCAAGCAACTTCATCGTCAGCAATAATTAAACGTTGGTCACAGCAACTTTATCGCAGAGCCATGGTTAAAAACCGGGCCTCTGTTAGCACCAGCTATATCTGTTAGCTTCAGCTAGCAACAGCCCTGTTGAAAGAGAGAAAAACAAGCACTTACCACCCAGATTCCAGGATATACTGGTAAAATCCAGACTATAAGTGCATGTCAGATAGATGCACAGCTTGTGGTGCGGTCCTTTTCTTCATTGTTCTGCAACCCTTCTACAAGCAGCCCGTCTCTGCCACACATTCTTGACTCATCGCTTCAGAAGGGACTTTTTTTTCTTTTCAGAACTTTATTGAACAAACGAACAGTATACAAAAAAAATCACTAAATGTATACAACATTGAACACAGAACATGTGCAGGGGTGCAAAAATACAAAATAATTTATGTGTAGTGCAAATATTCATTTCTGCTTTCACTTTTTTCTCTCTCCACCCCCCCCCCCCCCCCACACACACACACGCACGCACACACGCACGCACACACACACACACACACACACACACACACACACTCTCTCTCTCTCTCTCTCTCTCTCTCTCTCTCTCTCTCTCTCTCTCTCTCTCTCTCTCTCTCTCTCTCTCTCTCTCAAAGACAGACACACACACACACTGGTGAAGTGGGCAGGGAAAGCAGGTCGTTTTTATAATGAGCCTTATTATGCATGTTTTGGTTGGCCCTTTCTCAGGGCTCCAGGGACATTTTAGGCTCCAACTATTCTTTTATGCTTTACAGAGGATCACAGATCCCTTTTAGACTACTGCTTACCTGCATTCTATGTCTCCTTTAAACTAGCAAAATTCACGGCAATATGGTGTGAAACTACCCTGAAATGTATATATATGTACTGCCCCCTAGCAGCAGGAAAATACACACTGCTGCTTTAAGAAAGCAAGCTGGTGCTGGCCATGCCCCCACTCAGGCTGCTATAAGCTGAGAAGCTCCGATATCCATGAGGAGCTTTCAGTAGAGCTGCTGCTTCTCTAGCAGAAGCTTTCTCTTGTATGCGAGAAGTGGTTCTACTCAACTTTTCCCATTTGTGACATCACAACCAGGGACATTTTGAAACAACTAATTTTAGGCACATATTTCCTTAAACCAAACATGAACAGTCAATGGGAGGACAGGTTTTTTTACATTTGGATTTTTTTAAAGGCATATGTCAGCACAGAAGGATGAAAAATGTGATTTTCCATAATATGTTCCATTTAAAGAGATAAAAATGGCTTCAGTTACAAAGTATTTTCTTTTTGCAAGTTCAAAGAAGGTGATTATTGCAGAAAATGATTGTGAACTTCAGGGTTATTAGGTTGCTCTTCTTTCTCTGACTGTTTAAAATGATGTTTTTTGATTTGTTTTTACAAACTGATATAAGGACAGAGACATTTCACCTTCAATCCTACAAAATAACATTGCATAAAGCCACAAAAAATACACTTTTATTTTTATTTTTTTCAAAGATTACCAATGCAAAAGACTGATTGTTTCATTTTCTTAAGGTTCTACTAATCCCAAATGCCTTGGGGAATTCAAATAAAAGTACACCGGACAAATGTTTGGTTACAGGAGATATTTAAGTGTAACAGGAAACTTTTTATAAGGGTTATTTGTTAATTTCAACATTTATTATTGTTGTATGATTGACTTCCTGTATATCAACCCACATCAGTAACATTTTGATGTGCTATAAAATCTAGTGAAGTCCCCAAAATTTGCTTTAACAGAAAATTAACTCAAATATGTAGAGAAAGTTGATCTGAATATCAGAGAGGTGCATAAATAAAATACGAGCAAGTGAGAATCAGTGATCAATGAAGCCATCTTTGGTTGATTCTGCCACTGAGATAGCAGGTAACTCTAAATTTAGGATGTGATTTCTAATTTTTCTTTATAATCTGAGTTCACCCTGACAGCCCAGCTGATGTTTTATTGGTGTTATTCTTCTGTGGAAACTCCTGAAACAAAATATTTGCATAAAAATGATTAAACATTCTAGTTTTGGTCTAAAATATCAGGAGCCACATCATGAAACTCCCCGTATCTGAACAAACACGCAGCTTCAGCAGCCACCTTCTCATCTAACCTGTGTGAACACCTGCTGGACGGGTGTTCATATTTCTGCCACTAGAGGGCGGAAGTGGACCTGTAAATCCAAATCAGCTCGATGCAAGGAGAACTGAGCAGGACTCTGATGTCTTGAGGCAGTTTCAAGGATTTAATTCAACTTGGAGACATTTTTGTTATCTGCAGAGACCAGACTCCAGGGCTGGGGGATGGGTGGGTGGGGGTTGGTTCTGTGGATTATTCTCATGACCTGGCATTCCACTGTCCCTGACTGATCAGCTCATCGTTAAATCTTCATCTTTTCTCGCACAGCGTCAAAATTATGAATTTACGTAGAAAAAATGACATTTACTGATCAAAAACATTCAGACACTCCAGTCACCAATCTACAATCCATCCATCCTCAGATTATCAAGATTAGATAATTTTCCACACTATGCAGGTTGAAACGTCTTTTCTTTTGCTGAACACGGAAAGATGGCGAGGTAAAAATGACAATCCCTGAATGAATCACAGGTGATAACAAGTTACGAGACCTGAGGCTCCAAGCTGCAGGGTGCACATACCAGCACCCTGTTTATGGTTTCATCTCCTTTTCCGGTTTGTGCTTTTAGGTTGTTGGAGTGGGCGAAATTGAAACCACTTAACTGCGTAAATGTCGTTTGAACAAATGGTTTTTCTCATCCACCTTTTAGATTAAGAATGCACGATTTACATTAAATCTTAGGTGAGCTAAAGCAGGTCAGCAACAGGGGAGAGCGTTGGCTCTCCTGTTTGAAGGATTTTTGCTGGTAATTTGTTAGTCCCGTCAGATTATATGTTGAACAGCTCGAGCTACATCCCGGAATGCAGAGAAAACTATTTCGAGTCATTACCGTTTTCTTTCTTGCTTTGGGGCTGAAACAAAAGGCGCGCAGATTTCAGCACCACATAGGTGGACAGCTTCCACTGACACACAAATACACGCGTGCGCGCAGACACACACGCACGCACAGCAGTAACCAGGAAAATGGACATTAAACCACAGCTTTTAAACAATATGTTCACTTTATTACAATACATGGGAAATGTCAAACACAAGCAAACAAAATCGATTCATCTAATCGATCTATTTCATATTTCTCTGTTTTCTTGGCTGTGTGAAGATGGAGGATCATCTCTTGGCATTCACCGCGTGCCTTAATTGTAAGACATTAAATCAAGGTCCGCTGTGAACACGGAGAGACACAGCCCGCTCGTCCGCCTGAGTTTTTTTTTATGTCGACTTGCAAGTGTGTGTTCATACAGCATTAAGAGAAAAAAATCCTGTTAAGTGACATCAAACCTTTGAGGCCTTAAAATGTATATATATATATATATTAGATTTTTGAAGTTTTGGGAAAAGTGTAAAAAAAAAGAAGGAATTCCACGTTTCCTGCACGGAAATGAAGAAACAAACTCATAGGGTCTGTGTGCATAATTTCATGATCAATATTTGTAATTTAGCTGCAAAAAGAAAGATTTTTACGCAAAACAGTCAGCTTTAAGGGCAGAACTCGTAAAAATTCCAGTCCGTTTTCGGGTAAAAAAAATGACTCCGTTTGTCAATTTTCGTCCAAATTTTCTGAAATCACACAGAACTCCTCCAAAATCCCACAATGCACCTAGAAAAAAGAGAGAGAATGCATCATGAACCTCACACTGGATGGCAAACGCTACATCTTCATATTCCACATTTCAGGAGAAGAAATGAAACATCTTGACGTCTAAAAAATCTGATGAATAAATCCTTGTGTAAAACGTTGATTTTCAGACGCACAAACTGAAAAATTCCTAATAACAGTTATGTTAGAAAGCAGGGCAGGTCGGGAGAATCTGACACCGGACGCACCGCACCACGTAAATGCCACTGATCTCTGCCCGTCCGGTTCTTTTCCTCTGACTTTGGGATTACCGACGCTCCAGCCAAACAAATGAGGGAATCTGCCTTCAGCACAAGAGGATTGGGATGACAGAGGGGGAGGAGGGGTAAGGATGAAGAGGGGGGGATTATTGACGTCACCAGGCAAACAGATGTTTCTCCACATTACCTTGCGTCCTCCTCATCACCAACCCTGCGTCCTTGAAACCGATTAAATAAAGGGAAAAATAATAAACATGGAGGAAACATTCCCGACTTTCTTAAAGTTTATCATAAAACGACTGTCGTGCGTGTGTGTGTGCGCGCGCGCGCACTCTGCCATTTCCCAACTCTGGCACCGGCTGCAAGCAGTTATGCAATATTGGGGGGGGGGGGGGGGGGGGTGTTAAAATAACCAATAAAAATAAATAAATAATAATCACACAAAGACATGTTGCCCTGGGCATGCGCACACGCATTCTCTCACGTGCTGTGGACGACGGTGGAGGTGCAAAACGCTGCATTCGGCTTCATGTAGGTTTTAAAATCAACGACGTCCTTAAAAAAACGTGCAACCAATTAATTAAATCGTCGCGAGATCGCAGATATTTCATATAGCAGAGTTAATGCAATGGGAACGTTGTCCTGTAATCTGGGCTATCCTTCTCCACCGACACTGATGTAATCTGGCTGAATTGCGCGAGATTTAAAATGAAATCCGCTGCTTTTGTAATTAAATGCCCTGTCCTGACCGAGCTCCTGAACGCATCATAGCTGAAAAGCAGAGAGAGAGAGAAGGCGCAGGCTCGCGCACATTAGTGGAGGGAGAGAGAGAGAGAGAGAGAGAGAGAGAGAGAGACAAAGGGGATCGCCATTTTAACCATCCTTCTGCACACCTCTCCCATCGCGCATCCAGCTTTTAGAGCGGCTCCTCTTTTAGTCTCACTCTGACAAAGAAAAATAAATAAATAAATAACTGAAAACGAAACCCTTTTGTCTTCGAGCACCACACAAAACCAGAATCCTCCCTACCCTTTACTGATTATGCAACCGCGTAAAAATGACATCATGTCTTTTTGCGGCTTTTTGATCGCTTTTCTCTCTCTCTCTTTTTTTTTTGTTCCACTTTATTCCCTGTAGCCTGCAACAATGACAAGTGCATCGCGCCTGGAGGAGCACACCCTGTCGTTATGCCTCCATGCATCCCAAGACGTCTCTTCTTTGAATGCTTTTCCCATTAAATATGAATTAAATGATGATGGTTTATCAGAAAAGAAGAAGCGCGTTTGGTTCATTTGGAGTTTAGGAGCCGGAGATACTCACCCTGAAGTGGTGGCCATCTGCCGGCTGCCGGCACAATGAGCTCCGCGTCCTGCTGTTTTCTCGCGCAGTTAAAAGCTTTTTAAAGCTTCAACGCAGCTCTTTCCATCAGGTATTCCCGGTTTGTGTCGGTGCAGCGGACACGCACTCCGTTTGGCGACAGGCGGATACACCAATGAGCGCCTCTGCAAAGCATGGCTACGCTTCTTGCTTTTTTTTTTCAAAAAGAGGGCAGGTCGTTGTGTGCATTACAATGAGTAAAATTCTCAGCCTCTCTCTCTCTCTCTCTCTCTCTCTCTCTCTCTCTCTCTCTCTCTCTCTCTCTCTCTCTCTCTCTCTCTCTCCACACACGCACGCGCTAGCGCACGCGGTGTACACATTCAAATGCGCGCTCGCTTAGATATGTGCGCTCCTGAAATCCCAGATTTTGTATTTTTTTCTGTTTCTTTTAGATTTTTCTCTCTTTTGAGACTTGCAGTTTCGCACATGTCTGGGTGCATTTGCATATTGAGTGAATTAAATGTGCACTTGTATCTGCGCAAAAGCCCGATTTTTCTTCTTTTTGCACCCTTTTGCTCACATTTTCTCTTCCAAGTAGGGAATTGATTGAAGCAAGTTTTTGCATCCCATCCACTTCCTGCCGTGATTGACTCTCAATCAAAGCTCCAATCCAGACCAGGGCCTGTGGATGATGTCATTAGAGTAACCTGACTAACCCTGATGCCGAGGCAGCTATATTTCCAAACAACGCATCTTATTCCAGTTTGCTATAGCATGTATTGTTTTTATTATGCATGTATTCCTTTGAATTTTCCTCTAAACTAAATATTCTGCAGTTTTCCATCTCTCTTCCTGCTTTATTGTTTCACTGCTGGCCTTTGACAGGCATCCAGAGTGATGCAACCATGTGATGCAACTTGAGCAACAGCGTTTTATCAACATTTTTTAAGGCTTGGAGGGGAAACTGGCCAGGCTTGCGTCAGGCTACACATATAGTTCTTCCTCTCGGAGAGAGAAAGAGAGAGAGAGAGAGAGAGAGAGAGAGAGAGAGAGAGAGAGAGAGAGAGAGAGAGAGAGAGAGAGAGAGAGAGAGAGAGAGAGAGAGAGTCTATTGTTCCCACTGAAACAATGAGAGCTGCAGGGCGACATGCAGCGGTGCGTACATGAATGGCGCAACTCTGGGATGTGTGTGTGGGTCACTGGTGCGAGGTCCCAGTCCCAAAAAGCCCCCTTTCCCAGCGCTGCACAATGCACCCGCAGAGGGCTGGGTCTCCTAGGGGTCAAAGGTCACTCCCTTTTTGTCCTGCACTTCAAAACACATAAACATTTATTAATAAGGAGCCTCGGCTCGGGCCCCTTTAGCTGAAAAGGAGGGGAAATAAAAGGAAAGAGGGAGTAAAGAGCGGCGTTAAAGGGAAGAAGAGACCACTGCGCTGCAGACGCACATTCCATCATTTGGGATGAGGAAGTTTTTGGTAAGTTGCAGTCGCGCTACCGACCACAGAGGCCGGATCATCTCCTTCACACGTCTGATGTTTCAGCATCCCTTCAAGAGGATTACCGCTGTTCCTCCACACCGGAAGTACTAAAGGATAGCTTTTAACGCAGAAAGAAAACGATATTTTAAGAAGGTAAAATAAACATAGAAGAGGATCGTTTATGCTGCAGATTCATAATCCGGGAGTGGGCCTCATCCTCATTCTTGCAGCAATCTCTGTCTGGACAGCAAACACTTGTTTTCATCAGTTTTGCAGCTGTTTAGCACAGAAAGATGTTTTTTAAGAGACTGTTCCCAAACTGGGACTGAAAGGGAAAAAGAGATGCATGAAAGACTGCTTCAGTCTCTTCTGAAACCCCCCAAAACAATGCAAAAAAACTACTCTGGAAATTTTAGTTTGAAGTAGCTAATATGGAAATACATTTCTTCATGCAAGTACAACATCCTATCTTTTGTTTTATATTCAGTGTTTTTATTGATCCTTTTACTTATAAAAAATCTAAATGATAAAATGTGATTACATTAGTTTTATATGATTTGTTTTTTTCTTCGTCTTAAATTTTTTTAAATCAGAATTCTGACTAAAAAGTTTATTTTTTCTCAAAACAAAATGACCTTTAAACATAAATTAGATGTTCTCTTGAGAACAGTCCTGCAGAAACACACACACACACACACACACACACACACACACACACACACACACACACACACACACACACACACACACACACACACACACACACACACACACACACACACACACAGGTGAAAACTTTAATGACAGGAAATAAATGACTTATTTATGCTATGTTTGTATAAAACATGTAATTTGTGAGTGATTTATGACAATGCATGAATAAAAATGTGCACAAATCAATAATACCAGTTTCTAATGGGTGTCCATAAATACCAGACTAAATATGTTTATTTTCTTTCAGCTAAACGGGGGTTTACTCGTTTATTATCAACATGTTAATAATCTTACCAATAAATAAATAAATTTAAACAAAAGCATGAATCATAATAATCCAGGAGTCCTGACATTCTCTGAATAAATAGATAAATAAAACATGTGGATTCTGTTTAGTTCTCCAAATTTGACCCCTTAGCAAATTTTGTTTTATTTTGAAACCCAAATCCTGATGCGTCAACCCGAGCAGCGGTTGTTATTTCACGGTTGCATGCAGCAGAACCAGGTCATCGTGGCTTCCAGGCCTGCTGGCTGTTAGTGACGTCCGCCAAAGAGAGCATGCTAACGCCGTTTCAAAGCAGAAAGGAGGTTTTTTATCTTTATCTTCATCCCATCACCTCTGGCTTGATGTTATGTTTCTACCAAGACGTTTCAAACACTAAAAGGTGAATACATTTCCTGTAATTATCGAGACTGACACTTTTTGTCCTCTTCTGTTGTTGTGTGGGGGAGATGTAAGGACGTGTGTGTTGGACCTTCCCCCTCTGACATTAGCAGGGGGTCAGATGTGCATGTAGGGCACCGGGCTCTCTATCTCCCCTCTTTCTGTGATGTTAAATGTCAACCAGCAGCAGCAGCAGCATCCACAGAGAGCAAGATGAGCCTCCTCCATTCTGGTGCCAGCTCATCAGCACGCCTGACTCCCAACGCCACGAGCGATTAAAGCTGTTAAGGAAGGGAAATTTACACAACCATTAACCTGATGTGTTGGTGTTTCAGTGGAGTCAAAGGGTTAATCTGCTAGGAGGAAACATCTCTACCCCACCAGGTTTTAAGGTTAATCCAACAGATCTAAACTTCAGACATTTTAATAATTTAAGGGATTCTTAGTGGGTAATTTCTGTGCTAGCAAAAGATAAACGAAAGCAGTTGGTGGTTGTTTGTGTGATTAAATGTGGGGTCAGCCTGATTCCAGGTGGCGGCCACAACTATCTGACATAGGAAAACACAAAAATACAAACACATCCCAAGCTTCCGTTTTGTTTCATTTCACTGGAATGCCTGCGATGGACTGGCAACCTGTCCAGGGTGTACCCTGCCGGCTTGCCCGAAGATTGTTGGAGATGGGCACCAGCCACTAGTGGCCCTGCGTAGATAAGCAGGTACAGAAAATGGATGGATGGATCACTGGCATCCAAGTGATTGTACCGGATCTGTGTTTACATTCAAGATGCCCCCCTCAAACACAAGTATCTCACTTTATGCTGCAACTGTTGGCAACTAGTTCACAAAATTGCAAGAATCTGCGAACTTTCCCTTGGAACCAAACTGAATTGGTACATCGGAAAGATTGAGAAATTCCATGAGAAGTTTGACGTAAATGAAGAAAAAAATAGCAAAAGTCAGAAAACTTTTGGGCATAAGTGTCTTAATTCATTTACCTTCATTTAATCAGAATTTGGACAACAGCCCCTCTCAAATTGCCCCACATTTCCCATAATTCTGATTTGCAGAAATGAGGGGAGATATGGTGGAGATAAAACATAAACATTAAGAAGATAGATCGATAAATCAGTCGGCCGATATATCGATCTAATTTTAATCATTTTTTACACATCAGCAAAAAATTGTCCCAACTTGTCAGCATCGGCAGCTGTACCTCATCAGTTAAGCCGATTGAAAGTCAGGCACATCTGCGGGCAGCCTGCTGCTGCTGAGTTTGATTTAAATGTATATTTACCTTCCTGAAAAACATCTGCTTAATAAATGCTCTAAAGCAATTATTGTCAGGTGACATTTCCTTTAATTTACCCATTCTATGTTTACTAGTTGGTCCGCTTATTGATTTGATTGACTAACTTTGATTAAATGTTTGATTTGAATACTGAGCATTTAATTTCTATGCTCAAAAACTGTTTCAGGATCAGAAATGTTGAGCATCAACTGTTGCTAATAGTGATTTTTTAGCATAGAAATAAAGTGGAAAGCCTCAATATCAGTCAAAAAACTCGACCGCAGATATCGGCCATCAGTAATAGAATAAAACCACATGGGTCTATCTCTATTCCAGACATCTGCAACATCTCAGATGTTTTGAAGATGATCCACAAAATTGCACAAAAACAAAGCTGATACCCCGTGGGTCACACGTGGAAATCCTCACTGATGGTCTGGGACATCTTAGAAAGCGTGCATATCCGGTCTGCACCTCAGCGTCCATGCCTTTCCTCCCAGGTGCAAGAAGCTGGGCGTAAATCTGCATCAGCTGCAGAAGCATGCTCACTCAGAAGGGAACAGGAGTCAGGCCCTTGTGCTGCACTTCCTCTGTTCCCCTAATAGAAAGCCTATTGAAGCCCAATCAGCAGGTCTGTTCCAGCCTTGTAAGTGGATTTCCCTCCTACCCCCAAGGTTTGTGAAATGGGGGTCAATGGGTCTGTTATTGTTTTTCCCCTTCCTCTTTATCCCCACACAGCTCCGTGATGTGAACGGTGAAATGACAGAGAAAGTCGGAAAATGGAGGAGAAGGGGGGGAAACAAAGGAGGAAAAAAAAACCATGAGGAAATAACAGCTATTATGATTTTTGTGCGTTTTCGCTCTCAACAGGGCCACAATTGTTCCGGTGGGCGCGGATGTGTGCCCGTAGGAAGAATGGGAGGAGGTGAATATCACTTATCCTCGCCAACAGGTCAGGAAGAAGCTGCTAAAAACACTGAGCTCAGACTGAAATGCATCACTGTCCGTCTCTTAGGAAGTGTTGTCTTCACTCTGCAGAAAGACCCTGAAACCAATCTTTGTATAAGTGCTGCTGCTGCACCTGCCTTCGTCTATAGGCCTTCTCTGTTGTCTCAGAGG